TTGTGTGAAAAAAAAAAGATTTCGTTTGTGTACAGCATTGCGTGACCGTGCAATTTATCAGTTGAAATATTGCAGCGCTGAATAGCAAAAAAAAAAGGCCTGGTCAGGAAGGGGGAGTAAATCCTCAGGAGGGCAAGTGGTTAAATAACCACTTACCCGCCACCGTATGGCAGATATACCGCTACACAGCGGCACGGCTGTGCAAAATCATGTATATACGTGGTTTCGCATTTCCGGATAGGGGGCGCGCGCGCGCCCTAACTGCGCCGCCATTCGTGGCCGTGGATCTCAGTCACTGGTGATTACCGACAATCACAGACGGTGAGGAAGACTGTTTTGTTTACAATCTTCCTCCCTGTCAGATCGGGCACACTCCTTGGGATGGCTGTGCACAGCACAGCCATCTCGATCAGTGTGCTTACTGTGAAGTCCACACACCCGCCCCTAGTAAAAACACTCCCTACACACAGTTAACCCTTTGACTGCCCCTCACATTAACCCCTTCCTGCCCAGTGTCATCAGTACAGTGTCAGTGCTGATTTTTAGCACTGATCACTGTATTGTTGTCACTGGGGATGTCCGTGACACCAAGTTAGTTCCCCCCAATGTCAGAACTCCTGCCGCAGTCCTGCTAAAAGTCGCTGATCACTGCCATTACTAGTAGGGAAAAAAAAAATCCCATTTTTTATATCGCTTTTTGTAAACGCTATAACTTTCACGTAAACCAATTAATTTACACCTGTTAGGCCAAAATGTATTCTGCTACATGACTTTGCTAAAAATAAAATCCTAAATTTATGACGAAATTTGATTTTATACATTTTTTACTGGACATGTTTAATAGCAAAAAGTCCAAAATATTGTTTTTTTTCTCAAAATTGTCAGTCTTTTTTGCTTATAGCACAAAAAATAAAAATTGCACATGCGATCAAATACCACCATAAGAAAGCTCCATTCGTGGAAAAGGACATAAAGTTCATCTGGGTGCGGCATTGCATGACCGTGCAATTGTCAGTTAAAGTAACGCAGCGCCGTAATGCAAAAAATGGCCAAATGCATCCTGAATTTTCGGTTCCGGCCCAAGTATGTTCATTTCGGTGCACCGCTAATTTTTTGCTTTCGGTGATAACAGTAAACAAGACAAGTATAGAGGGCAAATCTTACTAATGGAGGCACAAACGGCAATAAAAAACTCCAGTCTATTCAGGGCCCTTTCACACCGATGCGCTTTTCTGCAGCAAGTGCAACTTCTCTCTCTTAATCAACAAATCAACATTGAGTAATCAATCCAGGGGTCCTCAAACTACAGTCCACAGGCCAGATATCTGGCCCACCAAAGACAATTACCCGAGCCAGCAGGCCAAAGGCCATTCAAAAAAAAAAAAAAAATGGAGCTGGCCGGCAAATAACTAGGCTGCTCATTGAGTGCTCGCGGCTGAGGACCCAGCGATCAGCCTATTTGCCGGTCGGCACTGGTCTTTTTTTTTTTTTTGGACAGCCTGGAAGCCCCGGATTTCGCTTGCTGCAGCCAGAGGAGCAGCTGGAGAGAAGGAGAGCATGCCAGACACAGTATATTTTGGTGTCAAGTGCATTACAGTGTACAGTGCATTGCGATGTTAAGTGCGTTACAGTGTGAACTGAATTGCGGTGTCGAATGCGTTACAGTGTATTGCGATGTCAAGTGAGTTGCACTGTACAGTGCGTTACAGTGTGAAGTGCAATGCAGTGTCAAGCGCGTTACAGTGTACAGTGCGTTACAGTGTCAAGTGCATTACAGTGTGTTACAGTGCATTGCGGTGTCAAACGCGTTACAGTGTACAGTGCATTGCAGTGGCAAACGCGTTACAGTGTACAGTGCATTGCAGTGTCAAACGCATTACAGTGTACAGTGCACTGCAGTGTCAAACGTGTTACAGCGTCCAGTGCATTGCGGTGTCAAGTGCATTACAATGTACAGTGTGTTACAGTGCATTGCGGTGTCAAACGCGTTACAGTGTACTGCGGTGTCAAGTGAGTTGCACTGTACAGTGCGTTACAGTGTGAAGTGCAATGCAGTGTCAAGCGCGTTACAGTGTACAGTGCATGCAGTGTGTTACAGTGCATTGCGGTGTCAAACGGTGTCAAACGCGTTACAGTGTACAGTGCATTGCAGTGTCAAACGCGTTACAGTGTACAGTGCATTGCAGTGTGTCAAACGCGTTACAGTGTACAGTGCATTGCAGTGTCAAACGCGTTACAGCGTACAGTGCAGTGCAAACTGCAGTGTCAAACGCGTTACAGCGTACAATGCACTGCAGTGTCAAGTGCATTACAATGTACAGTGTGTTACAGTGCATTGCGGTGTCAAACGCGTTACAGTGTACTGCGGTGTCAAGTACGTTACAGTGTACAATGCACTGCGGTGTCAAGTGCATTACAATGTCCAGTGCACTGCGGTTTCGAGTGCGTTACAGTGTCCAGTGCACGGTGGTGTTCATTTTTTTTCAAACTATAGTCCGGCCCCCCAACAGTGTGAAGGTCCATGAACTGACCCCGTTTAAATAGTTTGAGGACCCCTAATTTAATCTTTATGCTGCTAGTATTAGTAAATCGATAGGAAAGCATTTCATATTTACTTGTTTCAAACTTTTTTTTTTATATATTTCTTTAGTTACTTCCTGCTTTTCATGCCTAGACAAATGATGTTACACATCCCAGGAATTTTCAGGAGGGGAGGAAGATCTAACTTAGCTAAACACATCCTCCTGCCTGTACGCTTGAGCTAAGGGCAGATGGATTCCAGGAAGTAATTGCTAAATAAATCACCAGCCCTTACTTAAGATGGCCATGACCAAAAATGCTAAGGGAGTATTAGTGTAAGAGATTTCTCAGCAAAACAAGGCATGGAGACATTGATGGATGGATGGGGGGAGTTTGCTGTGAAAATTAAAAATGAAGAGTTTTAGGTGTATGGTTCTTAGACACAGTGTATTTACACTTTAAAGTACCGTACACTTTCACCATGATGCACTATTCTGCAGCTTAAGGTCTCTTTCACACTCATGTGCTTTTAATGCATTCCCATTGACTTACAATGGGAGGTGCTTTTTTTGGTGCACTTTTGAACAACAGAGCCAAAGATGCAGCATGCAGGACAAAGCACAGTGCACTTAAAGTGTGAACAGTTACCTAGGATTTAATGGGGAATATTTTTAATGCGCTTTCTCACCAGTGTGAAAGGAGCCTAAGTTGCACTTTAACATCTTTACTACCATAGCCAAATGACAGCTACAGCGGGGTATTCCAGTTCTGGGAGGGGCGTCATATGACGTCCACCCAGAACGTGACCCCCCCCCTCACGGCACGCACTGGATGCGGTCTGTGATTACAGTGTCCTTTGGACGGACACAGCCGATCATATGACAAGGTAAAAGGCCTGTCACAGCAGCCTTCTGCCACGTGATCAGCTGTATCCAATCACAGCTGACCACTATGTATATACACTTGGCAGTTGCCGGCAGTACTTTCCTCAAGTTGACAGCGTGAGGAAAGTACCCTCGGTAATGCAGGCCATAGACGGGTCGTTTATCGGCCGAATTTTTTTTCCGCATGAAAAATCGGCCGATATTCACGCCGTTAGTGGGGCCAGCCATCGGCCATTTTTCGCCGATCTTTTCATTTATTTTTATTGGTCATGCTGGACATTGGTGGCAGCATAGTCAACGGCACCGACCGATTTTTTGTTTATCGGCTGACAATTCAGCCGACAAACGGCCCGTCTATGGCCTGCATAACTAGCAACTGTCAGAGCAGACATCTGCACTGATAATCAGGACACTATATTCACGCCGTTAGTGGGGCCAGCCCGTCGGCCGTTTTTTTCACGGATCTCCTCATTTATTTTTATCAGTCATGCTGGAAAATCCACAAAAAATGGCCCTTTTTTCGTGGACATTGGTGGCAGCATCGGCAACGACCAATTTTCTGTTTATCGGCTGATAAACGGCCCGTCTATGGCCTGCATAACTAGCAACTGTCAGAGCAGACATCTGCACTGATAATCAGGGCACTGACTATCTGTGCAGCCCCAAAAGTGCCCAACAGTTCTGCCTATCAGTGCCAAACTATGCTGCCAATCTCTGCCTGTCAATGCCACCTATCAGTGCCTCCTTATCAATACCCACCAGTCCCGCCTCATCAGTGCAGCCTATCAGTGCCACCTATCCGTGCAGCCTCATTAACACACATCAATGAAGGAAAAAAATTACCTGTTTGCAAAATTTTATAATAGAAACAAAGAAAACTTTTTTTTTTTTTTTTTTGCTCTATTTTTGTTTATAGTGCAAGAAATATAACACCCAGTGGTGACTAAATACCAAAAAAAAAAAAAAAAAAAAAAAAAAAAAGGCTCTGTTTATGTGAAAAAAATGCTAAAAATGTTAATATGGGTACAGCGTTGCACGACACCACTAAGGTGTTACAATTAATTTTAGATTTTAGGGCTTCGTTCACATCTCATCATAGATGCGTCCCGTTTTGCGTGGTGCATTTTTCATGAACCAGCCTATTGACTTGCGACAAACACGCCAAAGAAGCACAAGTTTTGGTTTTTTCCGCACTGAGCCCAGCGTGTTTTTGCTACCTGCGTTTGGTGTGCCATTTAGATTGCAAGCTCTAACGAGCAAAGCCCTCAGAATACTCCTGTATTCACTTGTAGTGTCTGCCCTTATGTTGGAAATTTCACTGTGTAAACGGTTGGCGCTTTATCAATCCTGTATAATAATAATTGCACATCAAGCACGGCAGCCATTTTTTTCACACATTTGCAAAATTGCAGGCAGAAACGCTCAGGTGTGAATACGGCCTAATGAAGGACATTGTGCTGGCCATGGCAGATTCCAGCCTCTATCACCATAATACAGTATAGTAATAACAGATACATTGTGCCTTCCCTATCCGTAATAATCAACTAGCTGCGAGAACCTGGGCCAAGCAATAACACCCTGTTCCCAGTCACCCACCGCTAAAGCCCCGACGAGGCAGGTTCCTTTTATAATCCACGGGGCCGTACCCCCCTGAAGGAGGCATGTCCTGCTTCACCTTGGACGCAGCCATCTTCCCCACAGCACCGCACAGCCGTCTAGTCTATCGGGAACCTGACGCTGTCACGTGACTAAAGGACATCACGGCGACGTCCGCGCTCGACGCCATATTTGTTGGGGCAAGCTTTCCCAACGCTAATAGTAACGTATTCAGTGTTGCTGTCGACATAGTGCGTCTGTTTCCGGCGACCTTCTTCGCTCTCATGTTAGAGGACAATTTAACCCGATAGACGTGGAAGTATACGTTTGTAACCCGTATCTTGACGCTGATAGAGCCAAGAAGTTTGGTTTCTATACATTTAGCCACTTGAAGACCAGGTCTATTCTGACACTTTGGGGTTTATTTACTAAAGCTGGTTGACTCAGAATCTTGTGCACTTCTGCATGGAAACCAATCAGCTTCCAGGTTTTATTGCTAAAGCTTAACTGAACAAGCTGAAGTTAGAAGCTGATTGGCTACCATGCACAGGTGCACGAAATTCTGAGTCAACCAGCTTTAGTAAATAAACCCCTTTTTTTTTACATGTAAAAAATCAGGGTTTTTTTTTTTCTTTCTTTGCTAGAAAATTACTAAGGCTAGGCATACACTATACAATTTTCTGTCCAATTTCCTTTAGATTTACCTTCAACAATGTAGTGCAAGAGCCCGCCCAATTTAAAGTGTTGTTAGATCTGACCTCCTATTGTATGGTTTTTGGTAAAGCTAAACCAAAAATCTCACAAAAATTGTATAATGTATGGCCAGCCTTAGAACCCCCAAACATTATAGAGATTTTTTTTTTTTTTTTTTTTTAAGCCAATGGCCTAGCCTAGAGCACTGGTGTCAAACTAGCAGCCCTCTAGCTGCTGCCAAACTACAAGTCCCATGAGGCATTGCAAGATTGACATTTATAAGCATCCCAAAGCCAGAGGCATGATGGGACTTGTAGTTTTGCAACATCTGGAGGGCCACCAGTTTGACATCCCTGACCTAGAGAATAAAATGGTGGCTGTTATAAAATTTTTTTTTTAATGGCGCATGGTATGCTATTTGCACAGAGATTTTTCCAAACAATTTTTGGGGAAAAAAAATACCCTTTCATTTTAAAGCACAAAAAGACAATATTTATTTCCGGGATGTATATAGCGCCGTCCATTTACACAGCGCTTTACATATATATTGTACATTCACATCAGTCCCTAACCCTCAAGAGGTGTACAATCTAAGGTCCCTAACTTACATTCATACATACACATACTAGGGACAATATAGACAGGACACAATTAACCTACCAGCATGTCTTTGGCGTGTGGGAGGAAACTGGAATACCCGGAGGAAACCCACAGGCACAGGGAGAACATGCAAACTCCAGGGAGGTGGTGCCATGGTTGGAAATCAAACCTATGACCCTAGTACTGCAAGGCAGAAGTGCTAACCATTTAGCCACTGTGCTACCCATAATATAATACCCAATTGTTTGGTAAAATATAAAAGATATTACACTGAGTAAATAGATACCAAATATGACGCTTTAAAATTGTGCACACTTGTGGAACAGCAACAAACGCCATACGTTATATTGTCCATAGGCGATTCTCTAAAAGCCACTTTAGATTTACACAGGAGGTCTGGTACTAGAATTACTGCCCTCACTCTGATGTTCACGGTGACACCTCACATGGGTGGTGTGATCTTTGTTTACATATACACATTAGGACTGATGTGTGAGTTCACTTTTGCGTAGGGGGTACTTTTTTCTAAAGTAAAATATTTTATTTTTTACACTATTCCTTTAAATTTTTTTTTTTTTTAATCACTTTTTATTGGTATCACAGGGTATATAAATATTCCCTGTGCTAGCAATAGGCAGTGACAGGTACTCTTTACTGAGAGATCTGGGATCTATAAAACCCCAGATCTCTCCTCTGCCCTTAAAAGCTTCAGATCATACCAAGTGGGGCAATGGCAGCGGCCGATTTTCGTGGTTTCTCCCCATTTCGTTTATGGAGCACGCTGGAAAATTTGTGAAAACGACCGTTTTTTTTTAAATCATTGGTGGCACCATCGGATTACAGAACGAACGACGTTTCAATTTTCAGATGAAAAATCGTTTGCAATTCAAACCATGTATGGCCCGCATTAGGGTTTGTTTACAACCATGAAGTCAAAAGTGATGAAATTGCTCATTGCTTCCAGCTTCTTAGACCCTAGAGATAATCTGAGCTGTTCTGGTCTCCGATCAGCTCTATGGTAAACTGGTGGGAAGGAGATCCCCTGCCGCTGCTTGGAACAGCAATTCAGTGGTTATTTAGCCAGTAGGATTGCTTTTACAGGAAAGCCAACCATCATGTGAAAAAAAAAACAATACGGGGATGATGCCTGGCTGCAGGCATCATCCCAGTATAAAACACTCAAAGTACAGCGATCTAGCGATACATCGCTGGTCTGCAAGTAGATAACCTGTATCTTGAAGATGTACAAAGACCAGAGGTTTTTGGCTTTCCCATGTAAAACTGCACTCACCCTTGAGCATATTTGGTCATTTCGCTTTTTTTTTTGTTGGTGTTGTACAGGCCTTTTTGCAGGTTTTTGTAAGCATTTGAGGCCTGAATGTCCTCTTCACATCTAGCAATTGCAGAGGATTGCATTTTTAGCATGTATTTAAATGCATGTTTTTGGAGCAGCGCCATTCGTTTGAATGGGCTGTTTTCTGCAACAAGAAACATGCCAAAGTTTTTTTTTTTCTTTGGAGCTGACTTTGGCGTGTTTTTGGAAAGTGCAGTTTTGAGCATTTTGCGCACACAACAAAATGCCTTTTTTTGTGCTTTTAGGGTACTACATTTTTTTTTCCTTTTTATAACTATACGCAAATGTTTTGCCTTTTATTTCTATTTTAAACTGAATGGGTTATTTTATAAGGTGAGGGTTTACATATACTGTAACGCTACATGCCATGTATGACAGGTAGCATCCCTGGTCATACTCTCCAATGTAAGTGAGTAGAACCTAACACCTTGATCGCAGTTGTGGCATGGTCCCACAATGCAAAAACATTGTTCGGCAGTTTAAACCCCCCCCCCTCCCAAAAAGAAAAAAAAAAAACAGGCATCAAAAGGTGGCAATATCACTTCCTGAACACCTGTTATTACTGTCCCCTAAAAAGCAATTGTAGCAATCGTACATACAGAGATGGACGCAGTCATTCATCTTGCTACAGATCCTCCATCTTGTATCATTCTCTCTCCCTCCAATCCCCCTCCCTCAGGAATATGGTCTGTGTGGATGCTGAGGTCACAAGGAATCAGGCACAGCGGGATAGCTGCATGGTTATAAACCCCAATTAGCCTGGGCCCAGTAAGTCTATGAGACTCTTGCTTGCAGGTGATCGTAAAGCTATAAACCAGTCCTTCACTGAACAGGAAAGGCATTCCGAGATAACAGTAAAACAGACATCCTATTTAAAACCCACTTTTCCATATAATTTCATATCTTAAGATAGGAAATAATTACAATGAAACAAAAGCATATATTCGGATAGCTCAGTTTAATGTGAGTCGCCTGATACCTTACACCCCTAGTTAAAGTCTACAGGAGAGCAGAAAGCCATCTAGTTCTAGCTGAAATAGTAAGGTATGGCATATTTGATGTCTGGACATTCAGGATATCATTCTGCATATTAATCTACTAGTGGCTAGGCTGCTACATGTACCTAGGGAAGGTTATTGACCATGGTATAACTTGCAAGGGATTTGGTCATAGCCTAAGTTCCCCACGTAAAACACCCCTTCCCAAATAAGGCAATTGGTTCTCTGCTTTAAGGAAACACCCTTCTGGGTTCCTAGAAAAAGGTGGTTATGCTTGGAGCAGTAAGTTGAAGAATTCTCCCTTTTAACATCAGGAACCAACTGTGGGAGAAAAGGCACCCTTTTGCTCTGACACTTGAACGCTGCTTAAACCAAGTCAGTCTCTCTATCTATATATACACACACAGTCAGGTCCATAAATATTGGGACATCGACACAATTCTAACATTTTTGGCTCTATACACCACCACAATGGATTTGAAATGAAACAAACAAGATGTGCTTTAACTGCAGACTGTCAGCTTTAATTTGAGGGGATTTACATCCAAAGCAGGTGAACAGTGTAGGAATTACAACAGTTTGCATATGTGCCTCCTACTTGTTAAGGGACCAAAAGTAATGGGACAATTGGCTTCTCAGCTGTTCCATGGCCAGGTGTGTGTTATTCCCTCATTATCACAATGAGCAGATAAAAGGTCCAGAGTTCATTTCAAGTGTACTATTTGCATTTGGAATCTGTTGCTGTCAACTCTCAAGATGAGATCCAAAGAGATGTCACTATCAGTGAAGCAAGCCATCATTAGGTTGAAAAAACAAAACAAACCCATCAGAGAGATAGCAAAAACATTAGCCGTGGCCAAAACAACTGTTTGGAATATTTTTAAAAAGAAGGAATGCACCGGTGAGCTCAGCTACACCAAAAGACCCGGAAGACCACGGAAAACAACTGTGGTGGATGACCGAAGAATTCTTTCCCTGGTGAAGAAAACACCCTTCACAACAGTTGGCCAGATCAAGAACACTCTCCAGGAGGTACAGTCAGGTCCATAAATATTGGGACATCGACACAATTCTACCATTTTTGGCTCTATACACCACCACAATGGATTTGAAATGAAACTAACAAGATGTGCTTTAACTGCAGACTGTCAGCTTTACTTTGAGGGTATTTACATCCAAATCAGGTGAACGGTGTAGGAATTACAACAGTTTGCATGTGTGCCTCCCACTTGTTAAGGGACCAAAAGTAATGGGACAGAATAATAATCATAAATCAAACTTTCACTTTTTATTACTTGGTTGCAAATCCTTTGCAGTCAATTACAGCCTGAAGTCTGGAATGCATAGACATCACCAGACACTGGGTTTCATCCCTGGTGATGCTCTGCCAGGCCTCTACTGCAACGGTCTTCAGTTCCTGCTTGTTCTTGGGGCATTTTCCCTTCAGTT